AAAAAAAAAAAAAAAAAAAAAAACGTGACTCTCACACACACACTCTCTCTCTCTCTCTCTCTATATATATATATATATTTACGATTATTTTCGAAGTTTCAAAAACTAATAAAATTTGATTATTTATTTTTTTTAAAATATATTTTTAAGTAATTTCGATCTATCAAAATCTCGTGTAATATAATAATTTCTATTAAATAATTTTTTTAATTAAAAAAATGCACTAGAATTTATTAATTTTGGCAAATTTTATATGTGATTTTATCATTTTGCCCCTTGAAAGTTGGAGCTTACTGGGCCAGGCAGGTCCAAAAGGGTTGCTTATTGGGCTTCGGTCCAAAATGAGTTTATTGGGCCAGGCCAGAGAAACGTCATCTGACAGACTGACACGTGGACAAATTAGAACATGTGTTTACACATGTTCAAAGCGACGTCGTTTGTAGCACAAGCAGGTCACGTGACATTTGGGTTTAATTCGGCATTTTTTGTTTTCTTCATATAAAAAGCTATTTTCTTCTCCATTTGTGTTCTGATAAACTTCCTTCGCTGTTTCTCTTCTCTCTTTTGGAATTCTCCGATTCCCTTCCTCTCCGGTGAGGCTCCGGCTGAGGAAACGGGAGAGTTTCGCAGGTTTCATTTGAATTTACAAACTGTTACTGAAAGTTTCTTTGTAGGATTTCTGTGACGTTCGCTTCTCCTAGCAGTGTTATCTGTCAGAACAGAGCCTTGACGTTCTCTGTCGTTTCTTCTCCGGGAATTCTGCACCATCGCTGCTTCTCTCACCTTCAAAAGCAGCGTGTTCTTCATTGCAATCGTCGTTCGTATTCGAACATCGGGATAAATGTCGCTCCGGCGGCCTCTTCCGTCGTCGCTAAAACTGCTCTATCCGATACTCACGTTCAAAGTCAGAGCTCCAGTTCTGTTCCTGGTAGTGGTATGTATAATTGGAACTCTCTTTTTTTTTTTTGTACTTCATTTCTTGTTCATCATGCAATTAGTTTGTATTGGAATAACTTGCAACGTCAGTTTGATTGGATTTTTTGCGATTGGTTCGTGATTAACTGTAGTCATCGAGTTTTGTGTTGAAAATTTGGAAAAAAAAAACGATTTATTTTGTGATTGTATTCGTTTTAAGGATGGTCCGATTTTGCCAAAAATGTCTCTGGTGAGTGGGGTGGATATGGTGCGGATTTTTCTTCTGAGGGAACGCCAATTGAACTTCCAGAATCCGCTGTTCCAGATGCTTATAGAGAATGGGAGGTTAAGGTTTTCGACTGGCAGACTCAGTGCCCCACTCTTGCAGGACCAGAACAGCCCTCTTTCATGTACAAGACAATAAAACTACTCCCCACAGTGGGGTGTGAAGCCGATGCTGCAACACGTTACAGCGTTGATGAGAGAAATTTCGGAAGTGGTGCAAATGAAGAAGTAAATGCATTTGCATATCAACGTAGTGGATGTTATGTAGCTGTCCAGCCGATTGAGGATGGAAGTTCTAACAAGTTATTGGAGTTGGAGCATTGCCTGGTAAATCCTCAAGATCGTGAATCTCGTGCGAGGATTGTTCAGGTTGTTCGAGTTGAAGGCACACAGCTAGTTTTGCAGAATATCCGAGTTTTCTGCGAGCAGTGGTACGGGCCATTCAGAAATGGAGAACAGCTTGGTGGATGCGCCATAGGAGACTCAGCATTTGCTTCTACAGCTGCCTTGAAAGCTTCTGAGGTTGTTGGTACATGGCAGGGTCCTGTCTCTGTTGCCCGCCTAGATGGCTCTCAGATTGTGAGTTATACGACCTTCCTTTGCTTTTTAGACCATCTTTTACTATTATTACATGATGATTTAGAACTTTTGTTGTACTTTTTCTTGCTATCTTTCAATCTGATAAACATGAAATTAGAATTTATAATCTGATACTAGTAATGCACAGAACATTGCAAAATATAACTCGAATATAACTCGATTTAAATCTATAGTGTCATTATAACCATGATAAACTTACTTTCACAGGCACAATATAACTCGATTTCCTGTTGAACATGTACACAAAAGTTGATACAGAACATTGCTCAAGAACTTTTGGCTGATGATGTGCAAAAGTCGACAAGAACTGAATCAAACCTCAAGATGCTTCCCAAGCAACTATGGTGTTCCCTTAAAGAAAGTAAAGACAGTGGCGATGCTTGCTGTGAAGTAGGATGGCTTTTTGATCACGGGCATGCAATTACATCAAGATGCATCTTTTCAAGCGCTGCAAAATTGAAGGCAAGTTCTTCCTACAATTTATCTAATTGTTAAATTATACTGCAATTAAGTTTAAAAAACAGAACTGGTTACCTCATTTCCCCCCTGCAAAATGCATATTTACGGGCTGGTAATCAACCTCTAGTCTTTTCCTCTATGCTTTCCTGCTTCATACTAAATGACACTCTAAGCTATTTGGTGCTTCATACTAAATGACACTCTAAGCTATTTGGTCCTTCTGAATCATGTTTGTCTAGGGAATTATTTGCATTTTGATATTGTCGATCGATTACGTTCATTTTTCATGGTGCGTGTACAACTTTGTTAAATGTGACTAATCCTCTTCGTTAGACGAACACGACTCTCCACAATGGTATGATATTGTCCACTTTGAGCAAAGCTGGGCTTCCCCAAAAGGTCTCATCCCAATGGAGAGAGTATTCTTTGTTTATAAACCCATGATCATTCCCAAAATTAGCCGATGTGGGACTTTTATCGTCCACTTTTATCATCCTTTTGAGTCTTAGTCATTTTTTACTGCCTTCAAGGAGGCTTGACTCCTTTTTCTTTTGAAGTCCTTTGTTCGACATTTGAGGATTTACCAATCTATTGGCACAACTAAGTTTAGGGCATGACTCTGATACCATGTTAGATGAACACGACTCTACTCTCATGTCTTTGCTTTGGGATTCCCCAAAAGGCCTCATCCCAATGGAGAGAGTATTATTTATTTATAAACCCTAAATTAGCCAATCCCGCTTTGGAATTCCCCAAAAGGCCTCATCCCAATGGAGAGAGTATTATTTATTTATAAACCCTAAATTAGCCAATCCCGCTTTGGAATTCCCCAACAGGCCTCATCCAATGGAGAGAGTATTATTTATTTATAAACCCTAAATTAGCCAATCCCAAAAGGCCTCATCCCAATGGAGAGAGTATTATTTATTTATAAACCCTAAATTAGCCAATCCCAAAAGGCCTCATCCCAATGGAGCCCTAAATTAGCCAATCCCAAAAGGCCTCATCCCAATGGAGAGAGTATTATTTATTTATAAACCCTAAATTAGCCAATTCGGCTTTGGGATTCCCCAAAAGGCCTCATCCCATGGAGAGAGTATTATTTATTTATAAACCCTAAATTAGCCAATCCCAAAAGGCCTCATCGAGAGAGTATTATTTATTTATAAACTCTAATTAGCCAATCCCAAAAGGTCTCATCCCAATGGAGAGAGTATTATTTATTTATAAACCCTAAATTAACCAATCCCAAAAGCCTCATCCCAATGGAGAGAGTATTATTTATTTATAAACCCTAAATTATGTACAACTTTACTTGTTAATCGTGACCAACTTTTCGAGTGGATTCAGGAGTTATCATTGGAGGGTTTTTTTTAGAACTTAAAATGTATACATTTGTAGCCTCTTCGTGTATGACTTTGTTGAATGTGACTAACTTTTCATTGCCCACTTTTCCACATGCAGGAAATATCGATTGCAAATGAGACTCCTGCTTAAGATGGTAATCAACAGATGACAGTTCAAGTAAGCTGATGAGAAGATCCTGATTCCTTCATTAGCCATCACGTAGGCTTTATACTACTTTCAAGGTGAATTCGGAGAAAACAAGGTATAAATATATAAAAACTCACATGTTGCATGCAATTATTTTCAAGTTTAGTAACAAAATCTTTTGGCATCCATCATCCATGAAACTTTGTTTGTGACGAACTGTTCCACTTGATTATAAGTACATTTATAGGAAAGATTCCCTACTGTTATCTTAAGTTAGTTTTCCTTTAGTAAAGGGCAAAGCTTCATGAACTATAAACAAATCTGCATATTTTATGACTTTCTTTCATATAGTATAATGAATCACGAAGTTGAATCCGTGTCGCATAGGCAGCATTCTCAGAAGCTGCAATAAGATGGGAGTTTGTTAGATTTAGTTTCATACATAAACATAAAACTATGGTGTGCCTATTAGTTTTGGACGAATGGACAACTTGATGGAATTAGCAATGGAGAAAAGTTACAATATTGTAATGAAATTTGAAGTAGAGGTAGAAGACGATAGAGTATCTATACAAACAGATAAATAATCCCCAAATGAAAATGTTATGCAAAAGAACCCTAGCAACTCGAACATCTCTCTTGCACTTTCACACTCGGGAGTTCAACCACATCACCATTTGGCTATACAGCAATGAGAAGGAAATATATTAGGGAAATACTCGAGCAGAGTCTTCACTACAGAAATCCTTCGCAATGATCCTTGAAGCTAGGAGGAAGAGGAGCTCATTCGTGTCGGGAAAGTATCAATTCCTCAATTCGACAACCGGCTGTACAACCTGCAGAATTCCAAGCCATTATACGTACCGATAGCGTGCTTGTAAGTCTCATACCCGATAGACATGAACAAAATCTATGAACTTCTTAAAAACTATTTTTGCATCAGCCTAGATTGTTAAGTTCAGACTTTAGACATTGCAAGTAGCATCATGCTGAAACTGATATGTAGATATTGATAGGTGATCAGTACCGTTACTGAAGCGTGTGGTTCGGAGGCTAAAGAGCACCGGGCCCGTCTCTCATGCTCAAATTCAAACTGTTTCTCATAGTTCGTCTTCCAACTCCTGCATTGCCTTTCTGCATCATGGCAACAAACTCACCATAATCGATCCTTCCATCCTGCATGACACAACGAAAGTACATCACTAAACCAAGATCAATTTTCTTTTCTTCTCCATCCCATGACCCACATAGGTTCCAAGTGTCCTGGTCTAAGAATACGGGCGTAAATCATGGTATATAGTTGTGAGGATTACATTATCTTGGTCGACTTCTCTGATTACGTCCTCGAGGTATGCGTCGGTCATATTATGTTCTGCACAAGCTTGCTGCAGCTCATCAACTGTGATGTAACCACTTCCATCTTTGTCGAAGTATCGAAATGCAGCAACAAGGTGTTCTTCACGCTCTAGTTTGTTGAGATGAATGGTTGCAGCAATAAATTCTCCATAGTCGATAGTCCCACTATTGTCAATGTCAGCCTGAAAGAAATTTTAGTAAATTTTCCTGGGGTTCAAGAACTTGTAAGCATACAAACCATACAGATTCATATGAAAATTCAACAACGTTGATTGATCATAGAAACAAATTCATTTCTGAAACTTGAAGCAATATTTTCTTCCATAGCCACCTTCTTAAACAGGGAAGAAAGACAAAATCACAGAATAGTAATATCAGTACTGCGGGAGAGAGTCAAATTCCAAGTTGAATAAATTAAGAGCCATCCGAACTCAAAAATTTAACTGAGTTCTATTCCTTTCAATCACCCTAAAATTTGTAACTTTGAGGAGTTCTATTCCTTTCAATCACCCTAAAATTTTAATTTTTGTAACGGCTCATGCCCAAGATTCAGATACATTCGAATTTGGTATCTGTGTACCCTGACATTCCCCTGTAATGTGGTTACATTATTTCTCTCTTCTACGAGTAAAGATTATCCCCACAAATCATTATGGATTTTTTCGACATGTTTTGTCCTCACTCGCATACATCCTAAGAAAATTCTCAAAATGTCACAAAACATAAAATTACTCCAAGCATAGCACACTTAACTTTGGAGTTCTTATGATTGAGACATCGGAAAAAAAAAAATGATATATCAAGGAGCCAAAAATTCTTAGAAGTCTTCCACTACCGCAGCTATATCACATCCACATATGCATCTAAAGTTACTGCACATTAAGAACTACATAATGCTTTGACTTGAAATAGGAGCAAGACTAGTGAATATCAAGGAACCTAGTTGCGAGGGCTATGAACATGAAATTTCTTGAACCAAATAGCACAAGGTAGCAAAGAATCAGAGATGTAGCTCATCTAAGCTAGACAAAACGGAGGGGCTAAAGTTAACAATGTCAATGTAATAGATGATGGTGAAAAATATAAATATACTCATGCAATGGAAAGTAAATGTTCCTTAAGACATGCAAAAAGTTACCGCATCCATAAGGTCGCGTATTTCAATATCTTTCAAGGTTGAACCATATCTTCTCAAACCAGCTTTGAGTTCATCAAAGGTAATTGCGCCACTGTTATCAGTGTCCATAGCTGTAAACATTTCTCTAAGGCCAGCGATCTCCTCTTCAGAGAGGCTTTCAGCAATCACCTAACGGTTCAAACGTGCAGATTTTACACATCAGTCATTTAAGCCAAAAATGTGCAAAAGCTTGCATTAAGCTTTTCTAATAGTAGGTATTCTATGCAAACTTGCTAACATTTAAATGGGTGTTGAATTTCAGCTATCCCACCTAGGTGAAAGGGCTTGTTGGTATACTTACTCGTAATGCCATCTTCTTTAACTTATTCATTGCAGAGAATTGTTTGAGTCGAGAAAGTACGGCAGGATCTAGAGCCCTATCAGGAGCAACCCCGTTTTCGCAAATCCAAGGATGACCTGTACAGATTATGGAGGTATAATAATTTAATCAGACTCGTATAAAACTTAGAATATTCTATAAGTACACTTGTAAAGAAGAACTCATCTTCTTTCCTTTTTTTTTATTACCTTCCTCGCATATGTATAAAAGACCGAATCCATTCCATTTCTAAAAAGAATTACTAATCCTTAACTTTTCAAGGAATCCTTCACTAGTGGTTGTGAATGACGGGCTGATTTTCGAGGAATCCTTAAATTTTACTTTTATAAAGATTAAAGGAATGTTGAAAAGTATACATACATAATACTTCATGAGCAGTCAAACGATCTGATGGTCGAGAACATAGCATCTTTCTGATAATATCCTTTGCACTGTCAGATATTAGGGGCCAAGGGTCTGAGTCGAAGTCGATATGTCCCTTAAGCACAGCATCAAATATTCCTTGTTGAGTTTCTGAGTGTAGAGAAGAGGAAGAAAATAACTACTTAGCAACCATACATAAGAATTTCATTAGTTTCCTCTTCTACAACCATGGTATTAGACCACACCCCACTAGAGCTCAGAGAGATGTCGACCCTTGACTCTACCTCAAGAGATATCAAATATATCAAAGGTTTCATGGTTAATCAATTTGTGCGAAGGATTGACACCAAGGAGGACCTGGGTGCCCTTACCACCCCCACACCCAGTTCCTCAACTAATAGGCAATAACTAATTCAGGTTCTTAGTTGTGTTTTTATTTGAAAAAACTATAATTACCTGCCCAAAATGGTGGCACACCACTCAGCAATATATACAAGATAACTCCTGCAGTCCACACGTCCGCTGCCGGACCATAGTGCTTAAGAAGTACCTCTGGAGCAACATAGTATGGGCTTCCAACAACATCAGTGAAGATTTGACCTGAAGTTGTTTTGTGCATATCAGCAATGAAAAAGAATTCGATGTATTGATTAAACAAATGATAATGGAAGAAAAAGAAATCAAGAAATCTAAGTCAAGTGAGCTAGTTTTGTATAATTGAAACGTAGATGATCAATCTTTTGAAATATTCAGAATCTTTTAGGAAAGGATCAGGAATTACCTCCTTTTGATTTATTGCAGCATTCCTACTTCTCTTTTTCTGCATAATGCATGTGATTATTCCTGGAATCTCAATCCTTTTCCTTAAAGAAACTGAATATTTCAATAGAAGTTGTTTTCTAACTCATTGAAGGGATTATCATATGATTTATCTGATATGCCACAGATGATTAACGATGATTAATGGTTACTACACATGCCATAAACACAGTTAAGGAGCACTATTGCCGAACATCTAATAGGACCTTTGCATCATCAATAAAACTCAAAAGGAAATAGAATAACTACAGAACTATCTTTTCACCTGGTTTGAAGAAAACAGAGAGGCCAAAATCAATAGCTTTAAGAGAGAAGTCATCATCCTTGTTAACCAGCAAGAAATTCTCTGGCTTCAAATCTCTATGCATAACTCCAAGCGAATGGCAAGTCTCGACAACCCCGACAATAATCCTGGTTAACTCAGCAGCTTTCCTCTCACTGTAATGTCCCCTATGGATGATCCTGTCGAACAACTCCCCGCCGCTACAAAGCTCCATTACAATATGAACATACAAAGAATCTTCATAAGCACCCTTGATGGTTACAATATTCTTATGACCTGCCAAATGGTGCATGATCTGAATCTCCCGTCGAACGTCCTCGACATCCTCCTTCGCAATCAACTTCCTCTTCGAGATAGACTTACAAGCATACTCAATGCCAGTGGTAATCTCAGTGCACAAATAAGTAGTTCCAAACTGTCCCTGTCCTAATTTCCGACCGAGCGTATAGAGATCTCGAATGTTTGCAGTCTTATGACCCAAAACATAATAGGCTTGATTCTCAGCGCTTTTCCTCATGGTGAAGTCTTTCTTGGTGGGGCTTAAGAAGGCTTGATTGTAATCGTTATCCTTGGATTTCGTCTTGTTCTCTTTGGCAAACTCTTGTGCAATCAAATTGTGAGTGTTTATACTGGTAGGGGAAATATCAGAATTCGATCGGGCTGAAGAACCGCTGTTATTGCGCTTAGAATAGAGTGTTGAGCTGTCCTCGGGCTGGCTGTAGCCCTGAAATATATTCCCTTTGAAAGATCCACGGCAGGTATTGCCCATGAAACACGTAATCGCCCTTCAGTTCTGTTCCTCTCTCGCTCCCTCTCTCCCAAAACTCACCAATCACGTCTCATCAATCACGAAACCCTAACCAAAACAAACAAAAATCAATCCAAAATTGACGAAATCAGAGATTCCAGAAATTCCTCACAAATCAAACCAGATCGGAAACCAATTAATCGCACTGTTAGCTTAAAAAATATGGTTAGAATCTAAAAAGAAAAGGAAACAAACTGAGATAGAATAATCGAAGAAGAAGAAGGAAAGAAATGACAAAAAAATTATACGAAATCCAAAAGAAAAGGAGAGAGAGAAGACGAAGAAGAAGTACCGAATTGTTGTTGTGGCTCTGGAATCCATGAACAGTGGAGAGAAAATGATTTGAGCAGGAAAAATGAAAGGGATAAAAAGAACAGGGAAGGGGTATATAAGCAAACAAAAATAAATTATAATAATTATTAATTAATTAATTAATTATTAATAGTAAAATAAAAAACCGGGGACCAAGTCCTATTTGTTATTTGGTCTTGGTTGGTTGCTGCTGAGAAACATCGGAAGTCAGTGCTGACCAGCTACTCTCTTTTTTTTTTCTTTTTTTCTTTTTTAATTATATTTATTTATTTATTATAATTTTAAATTCTGTTTTTAATTTTAATTATAACTGATTTATGTTTAATTAAATTTGATTAGTTGGGACATTATTTGAGGACCAACTATTGATACTACTTGTCACGATTGTACTCTTGTGTAGCAACAAGTGAGCTAAGTCAATTCGTTTTTGCGTCGCTACAGTTAAGTGATGTATGCTTCTCCCTGCTTTAAGAAGAAAGATTTCGAAAGAGAGTTTTGAAAGCAAGATTTGAAAGATTTAAATGGCAACAACAACTGCTTACAACATGTAACTATCAGTTGGTAAATTGGTGCTATATTTGAAAGATTTAGTTGGTAAATTTGAAAACGGTAATAAATAATAGATAAATTTTATATTAATTATTTAATTAAATTTCCTTACAATAATTAATTCTTATAATGTCTTTAATTAAATACATTTACTTATCACTAATCTCGGACTTAAACTTTCTATATTTAACCAATACATAAATTATAAAATTAAAATATTTTAAATAATATTATTTTAAAAGCTAATAAAGGAACTAAAATGGTTCAATTAATTATTTTCTGAAATAATGTCTTTAATTGACTATGATACAATAAATATTTGCTTAATTATCCATTTGTCTAAAGATTTGCTTAATTATAATTGGTCCGTGTAGCACACGCATCAGGAAAGCGCTTGTCGAATTGTAAATTTCCAGTGCTGTCAGGTCAACATCAACCAGCCATTGCCCGGTGTTTCGGGAGGATAAAATCTAAGCTTCCATATCGGCGCGTGGGGCGCGTGTAACTACCATCCCATTTTTCTTCTTCAACCTTACTATTTTTAGTATGTCCAAGATTGGTAATTTTCATATGTATGTATATATACATGTGTGTATGTATATATATATATATGCATGATATTTTTTTTCCAATTTAGTATTTATTATATTTAAAAAAATCTATTACAATTTTCTATAATTTTTGAATCACATTAAAAATTACTATTATTATTTAAATAATTTTAATAAAAAATGTAATAAGATATAAAATATATTTACAAATTTGCCCATTGTTTTAAAAAATATCCAATTATTTTTTTTAAAAAAAATTGTAACGTCACCGATAATATTTCATCAAAGTTTCAAAAATATCTTAAAAAAAACGGTTAGAATATTGACCAAAAAATCAATTTCTTTTATTTATTAATTTAGCTTTAAGAAAATCAACTTCACACAAAGAATAAGAATCAATTTGACCGTTGACGAGACTTGAAATTACATAATTGGAATAAAATCCAAAATAGTATTTTAATGGATAAAATATTAATATCGAGTAATTAATTACAAAAATTTTCTTTTAAAACAAAGAATTTGAACTAATTGTGCCTAAGTCAGAGCGTTTATGTGGTGTCCCACATTGGCTGGGAAGGAGAACAAACCACCATTTATAAGAGTGTGGAAACCTTCCCCTAACAGACGCGTTTTAAAACCTCGAGGGAAAGCCTGAAAAGGAAAACCCAAAGAGAACAATATCTGCTAGCAGCGGATTTGGGCCGTTACAGTTTCAATCCGGTAGCTACATAGACACAATACGATATCTCACTCTCAAAGATCGATAGCTATGGTTGTTTTTCCCGTTCATCAGTCCTCAACTATAAGAACTAATAAAGAGAAAATAGTGTATGGACAACAACAAATAAAATTTCGATTCTACATAACATGATTGCACATCTTTTGATAGCACAATGATTTCTTTCGACAACCAATTACAACCCACAATAACATTTTTTAAAACATATGTGGGTATCAAAGTCAACGTGAACGGTATCCATTTCCTCTCCTCGTACTATTCAAAGCCAACCCACAATGATTAAATATGATATACGTTAACACGAATACAACATTCTAATGCATATGATGTATGAACTCTTCCTCGAATATATACAACAAATGTTTTTCCATAAAAATTTCACCATATACATCGACTTGAAACTCGACATATACCATCGACCAATGAGGTCCAAATCTCTTCACGTCACGTGATGAACTCGAAAAAAGAACAATAAAAATAAATTTCGTGACAACGACATTGCAACAAAAACCCGTTATTCTAATATTATATACATATATCTAAAGATTTAGAACGATAAAATAACTAGATTTTGGTAAATTTTAATTTATCTAAATGGAAATAAGAGGTAAAAGTAAAATTTACCATGTTTTTTTTATTGAATTCATCTGATGATGATCAACAGTTCTGCCCTTCACCAGAAAGCTCCAACAAGGTTGATGGCTAAGCTTCTTCCAATTGCCTGTTGACCCCTCCACTTGTAGGCCTAAATTATAAAAGAAAAATAATAGGGTTGGTAGAACTAGGCATTTTACCAAATCGTCCCCAACAAACTCGTTTTTTTAAAGTACTTCTATTGTTTCAAAAGTTGCAATAATACCCTTGACCTTTCATAAACGTTTCAAAACTACCCTTAGAATAGAAACTCGTTAGACTATTGGATGAAAGGAAGAGGTGACGATGACCTAGAACGATTAGGATGCTTGCATATATTAAGTATGAAAGCAAGACATCAAACACGTTGACTTTTCGTCTGACATTCTAAGGTTCTTATACTCTAAAAGTAATTTTGAAACGTCTATGAAAGGTCAAAGGTCATATCGCAACTTTTAAAATAAAGGTCAAAGTCCTAAACGTCCAAGTTATTTCAAACGAGTCCCTGAACTTTAAAGCTTATTTCTAATAGGTCCCTGAACGGACCAGTCTATAAACTATCGACGGTTTGATAAGTCCGTGAGCTTGCAAGTTTGTATAGAATAGGTCTTACACATATTCAACATTATTTTAATTGACGAATCTATTGGACTCAAAATCGAAATTTTAATACCTTAATAGATATAAAAGTTCAAATTTATGTCTCGTAGATTCATTCATTTTAAAAGAATGTTGATCGGGTGTTATTATGTTACCAAAAGGGCTCATAAGAATGTTGATCGGGTGTTATTATGTTACCAAAAGGGCTCATAATCACTCTTCTTTCTTTCCCAAAAGACTCAACAGCCCAAGCCCACCGCTAGCAGATATTGTCCTCTTTGGACTTTCCCTTCTAGGGCTTCCCTTGAAGATTTTAAAATACGTCTGATAGGGAGAGATTACCACGCCTTTATAAGGGATGCTTCCTTCCCCTCTCCAACCGACGTGGGATCTAACAATCCACCCCCTTGGGGGTCTAAAGTCCTCGTTCGCACACCGCCCGATGACTGGCTCTGATACCATTTATAACAGCCCAAGCCCACCGCTAATAGATATTGTCCACTTCGAACTTTCCCTTAAGGTTTTAAAACACGTTTGATAGGGAGAGGTTTCCACACCCTTATAAGGAATGCTTCGTTCCCCTCTCCAACCGACGTGGGATCTAACAATCCACCCCTGTGGGGGGTCCAACGTCCTCGCTGGCACACCGCTCGGTGACTGGCTCTGATACCCTTTGTAACAGCCCAAGCCCACCGCTAACAGATATTGTCCTCTTCGAACTTTCCTTCAAGGGCTACCCCTTAAGGTTTTAAAACACGTTTGACAGAGAGAGGTTTCCACACCCTTATAAGGAATGCTTTGTTTCCCTCTCCGATCGATGTGGGATCTCACACTCTCCCTCTCTCATCCCCCGTCTCCACTTCTAATGCATCTTAACGATATGATATTTAAACATTGAATACGATGCAAGAAAAAAATACTTACAGTCCACTTAGCACTTTAATTGTGTCATAAATGAACCATTGCGATGTAACAAGAGGACCAACAAGTGCAATTCTGACAGGGAGACTTCTAGTAAATAGATTGCCAAATCCTATGTTCTTCACTGCCTGCAAGAACAATATCCAAACAAAAACACCATTTAGTTTTACTTCATCTCTAGAGAAGTACTTCTAAAAGCATGAGTAGTACAACAGTGCAATGCACCCTTAGGAGCTTAAAGTGCCACCCAAACACACATATCTATGAAAAAATATGGAAATAAATTAGCTCTGAGATCCCACGTCGTTTGGAGAGGGAAACAAAGCATTCCTTATAAGAGTGTGGAAACTTCTCCCCGGTAGATGCGTTTTAAAACCTCGGGGAGAAGCTAGGAAGGGAAAGTCCAAAGAGGACAATATCTGCTAGCTAGTGGGTTTGGGCGGTTACAAATGGTATCAGAGCCAGACTCAAGGACGTTGGGCACTCAAGAGGGGTGGATTGTGAGATCTCACATTGGTTGGAGAGGGGAACGAAACATTTCTGTGTGGAAACCTCTCTATAGTAGATGCGTTTTAAAACCTTAAGAGGAAGCCCGGAAGGGAAAGCTCAAAGAAGACAATATCCGCTAACGATGGGTTTTGGCTGTTACAAAAGGTATTAGAGTCAAACACTGGACGGTGTGTTAGCAAAGAAATTGGATCCTAAGGGTGGTGAATTGTGAGATCTCACATCAGTTGGGGAGGGGAACGAAGCATTTCTTATAGGGGTGTGGAAACCTCTTCCCAGTAGTCATGTTTTAAAACCTTGAGGGGAAGCCCGAAAGGAAAATCTCAAAAAGGACAATATCTACTTAGGTTCTTCCTTTTAACTTAGGGTGCATGCTTCATTAAGAGCGCCACATTTCTTCTTAGCGAGGGACCTACGGTACGATTTTCTCGATAACTAGGCATACTTTTTAAGGAATAAGAGAGAGTAAGAGAGCAGCAGGAGTACCTGCACTATACTATCAGCCTTTTTATTATAAAGAGAGGAAACAATGTTATCAGCTGGATTCGAGACAATAGTACTAACAGCTCCAGCTGCATAGCCAGCCAAACATGTAACACCAAGCTGTTGCGTTCTCGAGCAATCTTCCTTTCTATGCTGAATGATCTTTCGATATATGAAGTCCACCGAATGCTCAAATGTCGAGAACATAACCATGGAGACTGTCAAAGACAATTCACAAATGATAATATTAGCAACGAGAAACAATTACGCTTTAGAAGTTCAATACATTAGCGTTCCACGATAACCTGAAAAAACATAAGGCCCTATTTGATAACGATATTCAATTTTCCGTTTTCGAAATGAACAGATATCACAGCTAGAAAACGCAACGAGTTAGAGACGTTACATGGAAGATTTCGTCCCCAAAGTGGAAAAAGACCTCGGTAGAAACTGCAATAAAAGATCGATATCAACGAAGATATTGAAGACGTAAAAGACGATAAAGAGATGTTGCCATTGCTTACCCAGAAAGACCTTCACTGTAGTATAGCTTTGGAAAGCCATCAGCCAATCCCTTGGCATAATAGGGCTGTGTTTGGACTCTGACCTTGACAGCTTCAAAAGGGCAGAGAGCAACATCAGCAAAGAATTGAGCAGAAGCACTACTGAGAAAGTATATGGAACTTCTGCTGTGGCCTTCCAACAAATCAGAGTAAGACTTCTTGAAGTACTCGTAGAGACCGAATTTGAACCCGCCTTGAACGCCATATCCGAATAACTTGCCGGACCAACCTCTCCAAAGGGATGAAGGACCTTGTTCCCTCCAAAGAACCGAAAAACCAGAAGAAATGCCATTGTACTTAATAGGATTCACCTACGGTAGAAAACGAACTCGTAAGATTAGTTTTATTGTCGATTCTTGTTTCCAAGAGATGTACAAATATGATGGATTAGCTTCTGAAAATAACGAACTATATGTTGAGGATTGTTCGGAGGGAGTCCCACATTGGCTAGTTTAGGAAATGATCATGAGAGCTTATGCTCAAAGTGTACAATATCATACCATTGTGGAGAGACGTGATTCCTAACATGGTATCAAAGTCATGCCCTTAACTTAGCCATGTCAATAGAATCCTCAGATGTCGAACAAAAAAGTTGTGAGCCTCGAAGATGCACTAAAAAAAAGTGACTCAAGTATCGAACAAAGGGTGTACTTTGTTCGAAGGCTCCAAAGAAAGGAAAGGAATCGAGGCTCAATTAAGGGAAGGTTGTTCGAGGGCTCTATAAGCCTCAGGGGAGACTCTATGGTGTACTTTGTCCGAGAGGAGGATTGTTGGAAGGGGGTCCCACATTGGCTAATTTAGGGAATGATCAATGGGTTTATAGGTAAGGAATACATCTCCATTGGTATGAGCCCTTTTGGGGAAGCTCAAAGTAAAGCCACGAGAGCTTATGCTCAGAGTGGACAATAGCATACCATTGTAGAGATCCGTGATTCCTAACACTGTATATATATCTCGTTTGATAACTATTTGGTTATTTGTTTTAGTTTGAAAAGTGTACTCGGTTTCCATCCTTCCAAAAGAGACGCTTGAATTCTTGGCCAAACTCCAAAAACGAAAACAAGTTCATAAAAACTATTGTTTCGTGTTCAAAACTTCGCTTCATCTTTCAAAACACGGGTAAAATGTCGATAACAAACGAACGAACTTATAAGTGGAAGTTGTATTTATAAGTTTAGTTTTAAAAAACCAAATGGTTACGAACTTAAGTTCTTAAGAACTTGTTTTTGTTCTTGGAATTTGACTAAGAATCGAACCGTTTTGAATACGAATCGAATCGTTTCTTTAAGAAAGGTGAAATCCTAAGCATAATTTTCAAAAACATAGCTCAAAATTCCTTTCATACTCCCTCAGTCTCATACTAAAACTAGTCACAAACAGCTCACAAGACTCATAAACTATGAACATTTCAACTAAACCATTCATGAAGGAACAGAGCAGCAAGAACAATCAAAGCAACTCATAAGAACATAATGAACATTATACAACAAAAACCAAGAGCTACCTGCATATTAACCTTCAAGACATCAAGAGGCGTAAGAGCAAGATGGGTAGCCCCAGCACTGAGCATTCCCCCAACAGTACAAAGGCCATAATACCCAGCTGAAAACTCCTGGCATAGCCTTCTTCCTTCAACCTCTCTCATCTCTTTCTCCCTCAAAACCCTTCTTCTTGTTCTAGATTCTTACCTCCAAGCCACTCCCTGTTCGTGCTTTTTCAGAGAGACCCATCAATGAATTTGATTGAAATTCCTGTTTTCTACCCTGCGCGGCTGGTTCGTTATGAAGATCACAACTGGGTAAGTGAAGGGTTTTGGGAAATGTTTCGTTGTTTCTCCTTTTTCTTCATTGATGTGGATATAGCCACGTTCGCGATTGGAAAATACATGGCCCTAAAAGTTTGGAATAATTGTGACACTCTGTCCTCGACTTAGACGACGACGAACATATTCCGCCTTGCGTTTTCTAAATGGGCCCTCTGTGGCATGGCTGGGTTGCTGTGTTTATGAAGCCCAATTCCATGGACGTTTGGCGGCCATTGACTGCTAAGAAAATGAGGAAATTGTGCTTCATGAGTTGTTTTTAGACCACATAATTTTACAAATTTTTGTAATATAAATTCAAATTTGACTTTCTTGAATTTTTCATTAATTATTATGTTAGGAAGGAATATATATATATATATATATATATATATATATATATATATATATATATTAAATTTTCAAAGATAAATAAAATTTAATATATTTGTCACGAGTTTTAATCAAATTTTGATATAATATGAATGAATGACCGGAATAAAAATAAATTTTAAAAATAAATTTTTTTTTTTGTTCCTCCTTGGATGAAAAGTCTCACGTCTGCTAATTTTGTAATAATCATATATTTATAATCAAAGAAATTCTATCTCACTGGCAAAAATGTTTTGAGAAACTCTAAAGCAAAAGTCACTAAAAGTTATGCTGAACTGTCATATTTATTATTTAAAAAAAAAAAAAAAAAAAAAAAACTAAGAACCACTTAACAACAGAACAGAAAACGTCGGTTGAAGCCTTGATTCCATGGAACTCAATGTACAAAATCCTCTCGACGTTGATTCGGAAATGTATTATTATCTTCGATCTTTCTTTTAGAATATCTCGTCGTTCGATTCTTCTTTTTGTCTGCAAACGCCAAGAATTTCCGCAGACGCGTAGGGGTAGAAGTAGAACTGCCGCTGGTCGACGGCGAAGCTTCTGGATCTCGTTTCAACTGGCGGTTGAATTGGCACATCGTCAAGAAAAAGTGAAGCAGAAGAGCGAGTAAACATACGCCGGCACAAATGGAGAACAGACCGATGAAACTCTGTAACTGAAGCTGTTCTAAATCGGATTCTCCAGAACTGCAAGACTTTCTTGAGAACCACTTATCGTGAAGCTTTTGAAGGCGGCCGCTCTCTGATAGAGTTAGTATGGCGGTCGATAAGTCGACTGCTAATGGAGAGTCTCGTGGAAATGCCTATCAAAAATGCAGAAAACTATGGTAAGATCTATGATATTCAAATTTGCTGCAGCAAACATCTAATTCCTTACAATAGTTTTCATCTTTCTTGACAAAGTATTTGAATTCTCAGCCAAATTTTAAGAACAAAAACAAGTTTCTGAACGATTTTTTTTTAGTTTTAAAATATTGATAGAAAGTAGATAAGAAACTTATAGTTAGAAGTATGAACGAAAAACTAAATAGCATTCAAAAGGAGCATAGTTACCAAACAAGAGCCTTAATAAGCAGAATTCATAGAGGAAAATTGATGAAAACTGTGAAGTTATGTCTTGATATACTTACAAATCCCCATCCACTTTTGGTGAACTGTTGGCCCCTAATTGAAAAATCGCAGTACTCTGTGAGAAAGAGGTCGATGTATGGTTGTTCGTCGACAATAGCTCCGACCGTTCCGTTTTTTAGGGCAGCAGCATACTCCTTTGGGGATCCAAGAGCAATTAGCCTAGACTTTTGGACGTTAAGTTGCTCAGTTAAGTAACTTTCAGCAAATGAACCAACTTGGAATCCTATAGGTACATGGCTAGATATCAATGAATCAATTCCTGTGATAGGTGAGGCTAGTTGTTGTACTGTGAATATGGATGTTAGACTAGCAGTGTAGCTCGAGTTGATAATTAGAACCACGAAAAGCCAGACGACAAGCACACAACGTCCGAGCGTGCTCACGACGTTTTCTCCTGAAAATGAGAATATTCAAAGCTTTGTAGCTCTTCGGAGGTTATGAAAAATACTTGATGGTAAGGTAACAAGCATGAATCTTCAAGTAAAAGACTTACTATGTGAAAAAAACATTGTAGAGAAGCCAAACCTGCATGACAAGGCAAGAAATACTAAGATGAGAAATGTACCATGATTGAAGAACATGCTGCATATTGGATTGACTATATCGATGTGACCTGAGCGATTCTTTAACTCGAAAAAGAACTATAGTTAACCTATAGTCACATTGCTAAATTGGGACAGGGTATAGAGAAGACAAAACGCTATTTCATTATTTCTCAAGTATACGACTGTCCTTTCAACACGGTCATTATTTCTCGAACGTTTCATTTGAGTTGATGTCAATCGTAGAGTTAACGAATGTTTTTTCAACATGGTCATCTCAAGTATCATTGCACAAACATATATCTAATGTAATATTTTCTTCTTTGTTCAGATCAAGTACTCACCAGAGGATCGTGACAAGTTGCGTCCTGGGATTTCCGCGGAATTCATCGTTTTTTCGATGTTCCAAAATCCACACGACTAATCCAATGAGGAGGAAAAAGGCTGCTGTGGCAATCCACATCATTGGTGTGAATGGGCGAAGGAATGCCAAAGGACTTGAATTCAACTTCTTGACAAGGATCATAACGACCAACCCCGAGTCGATATAAGGCTGTGTAAAGTCGACAACCTTTGTCCGACTAGTCACAATGGCAATGTCACCGACAGCAGCATCAAATTCCTACAAAGGTAGTATCCCTCATTCAGTAGAGTCTACATTCTTGCCATTACAAAAGAACAAACCAAAAAGCCCATTGAAAGTTTACTTACTTTCAATGCAACATTATTTACAAGCTCAAAGTAGCTAGGATTCTTCTCACCATCTCCAAACAAAACAAACTCATAATTCACTGCATATGGAAGCAAGTTTATGGCAGCAGTGAACACATCTATGCAGTATCCTCTGATTGTGCCATTACCATTACCCGGTGTCACAAATTCCTGATAACTAACTCTATGTGGAACGCCAATTCTTAACCGCCTTCCATCGAGTGGTAGAACCCAACCACGAGGCTTTATTCTTGATCCCCCAGGCCACACTATGCTGCTTAACTGTTGGGACGATGTAGAACGATTGGCTGATCGTTCATACAACGTTTCTGGTGTCACGATAGATAACCCGGAATAGTTGGACCAATACCCAATTCTCTTCATACCAGATTTCACAACATTTAAGATATCATATGAAGGATGTAAAGGATATCTATCTAGAAACTGAATAGGCCCTGTCAGACCAGTCATGTTGATGTTCAATACATTGTTAAGCAGTTCCTTTCCTTCATTAAAGATTCCTAGTGAGCTAAAATCCAAGCTCTCTCCACTAAGACTACCAACACGTTCATCTTTGGAGAAGGAAATGGTGCCATTTTGATCAAATAACTCTTTTAATCCTTTTGCAATCATCCAAACAGTATCATATGCATATAGGCTGTATGCATTCAACCCAACCGAGCCATTACTCAGCTCGTTCCAACGAGATATAAAAGATCGCTTCCTTTTAGAACTCGGTGTGTGCAGCCGAAGCGTAAGAACTCCTTGGATGGAGTTGGTAGTTTTCAAGGGAAGTGGTGAATAAGAATCTATTACTGTTGACAACCAACTAGAAGCTATCCAAACAAATCCAGCCCCCATCATTCCAAGGCTTTGAGCCACTTCAAAAACCAAGAAACCTGTTTTCGAGAACGTGTACAATACGATCACTCTAGATTCCATCGTTTTTATCTTTAGAAGTGCATCTCGAACTTCTGTTCTAGTTGCTGTTGGGTAAGGGGGAAGTGCCACTTTAGAGGAAATTTTTAAGCTTCTCTCTTCAAGTTTATCTCCTAATGCAACCATACCGTTTCGACAGTGATCATCGTCGGTGTAAACTACGACTATGTCGTGCCAATCATAATAACCGATAATGTCTGTAATTGCAGCCATTTGGAACTGATCATTTGGAGCTGTTTGAATGAAGTATGGATACTGCAGAGTAGCAAGTGCTGGGTCCAAGGCTGTGTATGATAATAATGGGACATGGAGTTCATTTGAAAGATGTGAGAGTATCTGTGCCATTGTAGCATCTTGAGGACCGATGATGGCAACTGTGCCAGACGTCATGTACTTCATTGCTGTGATCAACAAAGAAAAGAAAATTACTCGGTTCGCCGAAATGTTCATTTTGGTTCTCATACTTTCAACGTGTATTCATTTTAGTTCTCGTAGTTTCAAACGTTTATTTTGATCTATAACTCTTCAAAAGTGATTATGCAATAGAAGTCTTAGAAATCTATCGAGACGATCAAAAGTTTTCTTGAGGTGTTCGACTTCCATTTTGCTAAACACAGGTATCTTAAACTCACTGCTAGCAGATATTGTCCTTTTTGGGCTTTCCCTTCCAGGCTTCCCCTCAAAGTTTGTAAAACACGTCTACTAGGGAGAGGTTTCCACACCCTTATATAGAATATTTTGTTTTCTCTCCCGCCGATGTAGGATCTCATAATCCACCCCCTTCGGGACCCAACGTCCTTGCTCACACTCATTCCCCTTTCCAATTGACGTGGGATCTCACAATCCACCCCCTTCAGGACCCAGCGTCCTTACTAGCACTCATTCCCCTCTCTAACTGATGTGGGATCTCACATTCCACCCTCCTACGAGACCCAGCGTGAAACACTGGCGGTTTGCTCGGTTCTATGTTTCTGTTTGGGCAAGGGTAACGTAGTTATTCTTTAACCATGATTAGAGATCAAAATGGATCAAAGTTGAAAATTCAATAAAAGACCCAAATGACAAGAATCAAATTGACGAACAAGAAAGAACAACGTAGAGGGCTTGTGATGGGCAGAGTTATACCTCCTGTGATACCAAGAAAACCACTGTAATTAGCATCATGAATAGATATGGATAGCTTCCTTCCACCAAGAACACTTGGATCAGCATTCACATCTCTCTCAGCAGCCTCTATGGCTATCTTGGACACTTTCCCATTGACAGAAGCAAGTGAAAATATAGCTCCAACTTTCACTACCTCATGTCCTGAGCTCCCTTCTGAGATATAAAGGAGTGATAAAAGGAGCCAAACCATGTTCATAAAGATTAAGCTCAGAAT